AATAGCCCCAGAGAGAGGCAGCCTTATTGTGATTGTGTAATTACAGAGGTCCCATAGAGAGGGGAGACTGAAATTAGCTGCTGGGCAACCGGAGTTCTTCCTTAATGGAGTGGAAGAGTGATTGAAACTGAGAAATAAGCAACAAAAGCAAGTTCAGTGTCACATTTTCTGGATACCGCAATGAAGAAAAGCAAGACTGCTGTGTCTGAAAGTAAAGATATGTTTTAGAATAAGTGGGATCAGCACACATGTATCTCTTCCACTTTTTCAAATGCAATACAATTCTGCTTTCCTCTACCTGGTTGGTATCAAAGGGGGGTGGAATCGGAGTAGACTGAGGTAATGGGGATGAAAGGAATCCAGGAAACAACTAACTTAGGAAGAAGGGAGAAAATTGTGCAGAGGGTGGGAATTCTGGGAGTTGAAGTCCACCCATCTTAAACGCGCCAAGTTTGAACAACACTGCTCTAGAGAAACAAATATTGGGTCTGCCCCTGTAGGTTCCTTAGAAGTGCCTGTCAGTGATAGGGCACAACCTCACTGTTACTGGACTGTTCTTGTCCCTTGCTGGGTTCTGGAGTGCTTCAGTAATGTTCTCAGGAACACTCCTGCTGTCAGCCTTTGGGGAGTTGTGTAGATCCCTTTCCCTGCTCTTTCAGAGCTGCAGACACAGCAGGTGTCTCTATGGCTGCCTCTCCTGAAGCAGTTTCTCAAGCTCCAACTTCTCAAGGTCTTTCTTCACTGGGTAGATTGCATTCCAGACATGGTTAGCAAGGTCCTTACTCAGTAACATGATAAAGCACTCCAAGCTCCACTGGAAAGGTAACTTAACTAAAAATGATTCGCCCTGCCCTTTGACCCTCCAGGTGTACTTTAGAGGACATGACTAAGTATTGTTTCTTTAAAAGGGAAGGATGAACTCTGGAGATAAATGGGCAGGCGTGTCTCACCAGGCTCCTACTGAGCGTCTATCCACTGTGACATTAGAGTAGAATAGTTGTAATAGTAGAATAGTTTCCATATAGTGAATTCTGGTAGAATGGAGTTTAGCTTTTGAACCATTCAAGGCTTCCTGAACTGATTTGGTTAACGTCTTTAGCTTTGCTGCAGTCTGTCTTAAGCCCTGCTTCTCCACATTAGCAGCATTGGAGAATAGATTTATCTACAGGCTTACAGAGTACTTGTTGGGGTTTTGCAAAAAACACATTAATAGGTCCTCAAAGAAAGCTCCCATCAAACAGTGAAAAACCCACTCTAACAGCATCTGCACTTTCATTTTTTTTCACTTTCATAGGCTTGAAGTGAAAGCTGGGAACCAGCAGGGCAACTTGCCTTGACAACAGCTTCCATGGTTTAAAATCACTCTGCTTGAAGCCTCTAGAAACTTCACTGAAGTCTGAAGGGTTCGTCTGAAGTTTCTCCTCACCACCACCACCCACAATACACATAACTGCTTTATAAAGGCATATCCCTGCAAGAAATAGATAGGTTTGGGTCTGATGGAACCTAATAGGATCTACCTCACAGGAATCACCTGGCCCATTTCTGATCTATAAGAGTCCCACCAAAGGCCCTGGAAACTGGGACTTCCATGGAACGAACTACGGGATGGAACCGGCCCCGTTTCTCTTCGCTTGCTCACTGCTCCTCTTCCACGTCTTTCGCGTGAGGCGAGAGACTTTCGCCGCCGCCGCCGCCGCCGCCGCCTCCTTGCTTTCCGCTCCCACAAAGCGGGGAGCAGCGTTCTGGAAACGAACCATGAACGCGCTCCCGGACTGAATTCCAAATTCTTCCCATGAATTAATGTCCAGGTCTCTGGAAGAAAACAAAAACGATCTGACGTATTTGCCCGGAGAAAAGGACGGCGAATTTAGAAATCTGCCAACACGCAAATCTGCCCCTGGACTGATAATAAATGAGAAGAGTTTCCGCCCAGCAAACCGGGACTCGACTTCTCTTCTTGGGGACCGAAGGCGGTTTTCCATCCTTCCGAAGAATGGTTCGAAATAGTTACCAAGCAGCTGGTTGGCGGGCGGGCGAGCAATCCTTTGAAGAATAAACCCCAGTGAATCAACTGAGAGTTATTTACTTCAGTGAAACCAGTGAAATTTTATTGGATATTTACGAATATGCTTCCACCATGAAAGTGTACTGAATGGGTAACGCTTGGCAGGAGTTACCAAGCAGGAGGCGGGCAAGGAACTTAAGGCTGAAACCCACGCTTGGTGTCCCGGAGTCAACCTTGCTGTAGGGATTTACTTCTCAATAAAACCCATCCTGCTTTAAACCTACGAACCCACCGCGTAATTACCGGGAATTTAAATCAGCAAGGGTAACTTCTGAATAAACATACAGGATATACGGAGCCATAGCGCTGCAGTCGGAGAGATGCAGCTTCACACAACACTGACCTGGGCGCCTAACGGTGGGACACTTCGAAGTCCCATAAAGGCACAATTTCTTTTTGAGAAAATGACACTGACGTGTAGACGCAATTTGGGGCAGTTAATCCAGGCAGAAGTTCGGGTTGCAAAATTCCAGTATTTCAGGACCATATTAATGGGATTTATCTTTGAACAATTTCTGCCCTGACTAGTGAACAGCTGTGTATATATGTTAATAATGTTCTAGCTAATCCCCAGTAGAATTTCATCTTCAGTTAGCTTCCATATGTCTAATATTTATTTGATGTCATCTCCTACAGATAAACACACATAAATAAATCTTATTCTTTTAAACCAAGCTGGTTTAAATCCAGACCTGGTGTGTGTGTGTGTGTGTGTATCTATCTTATGCACAATTTAACACTTTTCTAGCAAATGCCAATACTTTTTACGGCTTTCAAACGAGCAGAAACAATTATTTTTTCTTTATGAATGCTTATTTCAAGTCTACCACAGCTAACCTCCCCAGAACATTGTGTGAAAGTAAAGCCCATAAATAATTTGTCTTCAGACCATTTGGAGATAAGGGTAAGAACAGGAATAGTGGCTTGATGGAGATACACCTGAGGCATTTCTTCAAGTGTTTACTTAAAGAAAAGACAAGCAGCACCTTATAACTTGGCAGAAAAAGGTACTTAAAATTAAATTGTTGACCTTTCTTCCCAATTCTCTGATAATTTGACCATTTCCACTTATGGCTTCATTTCCCAGTATCAGAAATATTGTCTGCTCTAGTTAAAGTTGTACCATATGTGCTAGATATTTTCATCTGTAATCCCAAGTATATAACAACTGGTTCTGTTTATTCAGTGGAAAAACAGCCAATGCTATTTCCTGTTTACTTAGAAGTTGGCATGATGCAGATTTTCATTATAACTTTATATTTTGTAAGACCCAATCATTGCCTTGAACAAGGTCCTGGGTTTTAAACACTGTAAGCTCCAACTGAACTGAAGCCCTGAAAAAAAATTGTACTACAAAACATAGTAAGAAATGTAGCAGATAATTAGGACAAATTAAATGACAACATTTTATTCTGTTCAATTTATGGTCAGCAATACTATACATTTAAAATCTAAAAGGTGTCTCCAATATTTCTCAAAATATAGCTATTTTTTTCTACTAGATGCCTACAGCTGTTATTTACAATTTCCAAAACATTTCTATTATTGGTTAGTGCACTTGTCTGTCTGTTTTTAAAATTAAGGATTTAGGTCCATAATGTATAATATTGAGCTTGTAAAGAATGCTACTAAATGCTAGGGTGCTGGACCATTAATTGAAATTATCAGGATTTTTACATAGTTCCTTGAAAAAGTCTGAAGTCAATGGGATGTGGCTTAATATGTTAAGGATTAGGTGGCTGTTATTGTTCTCTCTCTCTCTCTCTCTCTCTCTCTCT